TGGCTGGCATGTGGTGCTGGGGGATTGAACCGCAGTCCCTGTGCTTTGCTAAGCTTGTTCTAAGTAGGTGCTTTAGACCACTGAGCCATCTTACCAGCCCTTAATTCAATTTTTAAATATGTGTTTGACTAGGTCACAAAAAGAGCTTTCTTTTCTTTCAAGCTTCTAATTTAACCCAGTTATATGTAGTGTAGTGTTAGTGAGGAAAACCTATCGTGACTTCTAAATCTTATTAGCTTCTTAGTAAGCATTTCTTTTTTCCCAGACAATGTTGGAGTTAGTTAAGGTTACAGTAAATCTTAGGAAAACTATTCCCACCTAACACTGAGTTTTGACTGTCTTTTGTTTTTTTGGCCAGTTCCATAAACTATCAGTGGTTCATAGTATTTTCACATAAGCACTGAATGATGTTAGTGGCTACTCTCGTGACACCTTCCTAGACTTTGTTTCAGAACATGTGAGAGCATATATGCCACACAATGGTGTCGCAATTCATGACATGGCATGGCACAAAGAAGGAAAAATGACCCGGAGTCAACATCTAGTTCAAACTCCAAGAAGACCCAGAGGGACTGCCCTTAACCAAGACCCCAAAGCACGCGAGTCTCATACACACAGCTCTGGTCTAAAGCTCCTGTGGCTTTTTGTTGATAGAATCGGGAAGCAGGGATAAAGGACAAGGACATAGATACAGGAATCTCTGTAGAGGAAAGGGGAAGGACGGAGAAAGGTCAGGGTGGTGTTTTACCTGACTGACCTTAGGACCTGCCTAAGTCATAAATCAGAGCAGGGAGGGCGAGGCCACCGCATTCATCCCTTAAGGCAGTGTGCTTTGATCCTACTTGCGGCCCTCTAGCGTACCACAGGCTCTGGAAGGCCGTGAGGGCGTGTCCTTTATCTTGGCATATCCATCTCATACAGACTTCTGGCCAGCGCCCACACACAGAGGAATGAGGGATGAAGCAACATAGGAAACATCAGTCTAGAGTGTGTGTGTGTGCGTGTGTGTGTGCGCGCGCGTGCGTGTGCACACATATGGTTGGGGTTTGAAAGCTGGGCTGTCCCCAAACTTACTTACTTACTTTCTTTCTTTCTTTCTTTCTTTCTTTCTTTCTTTCTTTCTTTTCACTCTGAAATAGGGTCTTGCTCAGTCACTAAATTACCCAGTGAGGGCTTGAGCTTGAGACCCTCCTGCCTCAGCCTCCCAGCAGGCTGTGGTTATGGCCACGTAGCATCATACCTGGCTTGGCTTCTTGTTGTTTTTTTTTTTTGTTGTTGTTTGTTTGTTTGTTTCTTTTTTTGTGGAACTGGGGATTGAACTCAGGCCCTTGTGCTTGCCACGCAAGTGCTTATTCTACTGAGCCATTCCTGTGCCCCTGGCTTCTTGCTTTGACATTCTGCTACCTCAGCCATAGAAGCAGCATGTTCGTGCTCCTAGACCCCGTAGCAGATGGCCATCACACTGGACAGTGGATGGCATAGTGCGTTACAAAAACAAGTGAAAAATGAAAGATAAGGGAGGCCAGGCATGGTGGCACACACCAGGAATCCAGCACTCAGGAGCCTGAGGTGGGAGGGTCACTGTGAGTTCGAAGCCAGCCGAGGCTACAAAGGGAGTTCAAGGCCAGGATGAACTACAGAGTGAACTGTGAAACCCTGTCTCAAAAAGAAAAGGAGCAAAGAAAAGAGAAGAATGCTGTGTGTAGTCTCCTGCAGGTATGTTTGCAGATG